ATAATAATAATAAATTCAAGATGGCCATGTATTCCCTCCTTAGGCGGATGGTTGCTGGGATACTCTCCAGCATCGGTCCTAACGGTGCCTCGGTCGCCTCCTCTGGTCGCAGAGCGAAGAGGGACCTGTCAGCGAAAGCACCTGAGCCTGTTAGCTCCGCCCACAGAAGAACCCGCCGTTCTCTTGACGATCTGGCTCCCCCTTCACCTAGCAACGACCCTCCCCTCCTCAGGGTGAAGAGGCTGGAGGATTACGACGGAGAGGAGCAAGGAGAGAAGCTGCACCCCCAGGTGGTCGGGCTGCAGAGGATGAAACGCATCGACACTACGTCAACAGGTGACGCAGAGGAACTGAATCATGGGAGTCGTAGGCGCCGGAGGAGAGCTGCTCTGAACTACGACCCACAAATATTGGTTGATCAGATTCTGGAGTACATGAGGGAGTAAGGAGCAGAGAAAAGAGTATACGTTGTCATTCAGGTTTTTATTTGTGCATCTTTTTCATTTGTTCCTGCTGCTTTCGTGAACATTTATCAAGTTGTTTGTTGTAAAAATGAGGAGAAATGTCAAACAGATGGAAAAGGATAAAACGGTTCTGTTTGTGCGACTCTTTAAAACACTACATTTCCCATGAGCCTCAGCAGGCATTGTTCCAGCACATTCAATGAACCAAAATCTAAAAATTCACCTGAATCAAATTTGTGAAAAGAAACTTCTTTCTCAAGCTCTCCGATTGGCTGATAATCTACTGCAATGGTCTCTGGGGCTTGTAGTTAGACTCTTCATTACTGTAATGTGGTTACATTGTTACAGGTTCGCCATTAAATCGAGCTTCTTTCCTTCAAAAAAGATGGAGAGATGGTGGAAAGTGGTAATAACCTTGGCAATGGCTCATCAGCTATGTGATCAATACGTTCTCGTTGTGTTCCTGTACTTCAGCTTGTGATGATTCGTCTGTCTGTGGTGAAATTTTGATTCATGTCACACTCAGAAATAAAGTCGGTAAAGTCGACCTTCACTGCCGCCTGCTGTCTGTTTTTGTCCCCACCAAAGACGGACGTATCCTGTGGTTGTCGAATGGGAGAACAGTGTAGGAGCTATAATTTTTCTAATGGCCAGCAGGGGGAGTCTCATCTGCTTGCAAAACAGTCCGATTGTGTTGAGGTCTATGGGAAAATTACCCTACATCTTCTTTAAACTTTAACCTCACTATTCAGTCGTCTGGTGAGTTTATAGGTTGAGATGGCAGTTTCGGATCTTATCTGATAAAAAAAAAATCTTGTCTTGGGTCACATTGGTGTGAAAAAATGACACTTTTATCACAGTCTTCACACCCCAAGTACTCTGTATTTAAGTTAATAAATATGAAACAATCATTCTGACTTAACTGTTTAAAATATATACACAAAACAGTTTGTTTTAATGATATTATAGCCAAACAGCACATCTTTTTGATTATTCTGTTTCAGGTAAGTAAATTAACTAGGTTAAGTCTTTCCCAACTTTGTTCATCAAACCTTTGGAGGTCCAGATCACATAATTTTCAACTTCCCATTTCTGGGAAAAGTCAAATCCAGGGTACAGAAATAACTCATTCCACTTAACAGCTTTGTTACATTTTAATAAAACATTGAAACAGAAAAACTTTTGAATCATTCCAAAAA